AATTCCTAATGCAAGAAATTGTATATGGCTAATAAAGTGATCTTATCTTTTGTCTGGCCTGACATGTGCCACAGTCACAATTTTTACAACACCAGTGTAAATCCTCAGATTATATCACAATGCTAAATCGCTAGTAATCTCGATCATTCTGATTTCCTAGAATACAAACAGACTGAAAATCATCCAACCAATGATGACATAGTAATGTGCAATGCGTAGAAAGTTCCTTTGTTAGATATACTGGATACACATGGGTCAGAAAACATCACCACACTATCAATCTTCAGATCACTGTCGCAGTTTTTCAAATCTTACAATATCACCTATTCTACAATGAGCTACTGTATGTACTGTATTCAGTTGAGAAACCTTTTGCATTTTTTATGGTATGTGTAGAAATGAAACTGGCATTTGCATAAAAACATACTTTGGACATTTGAGATCAACTTATTTATGAATAGTACATTCCCTCTCTACTGGAATTCTTCAGTTTTTATATTGACGGCTGAGGAATTTACATTTGATGTAAACATCTGTCTTAAGTGGGAAAAACACTGAAGACCTTTTGAAAATGTGCCGCTTTTTTGCAGCTTAATACGAGAGCTTTGCCGAATGTTTTCAGAACACAAAAACAACTATAGATACTTTAAACGTACAGTATAAATATAAAAAACTAAATACTTTTCAGAGGCAGTGTTTCAATTTTGTGTAGCTGGGTCTCAGAGGGAGGACATTTTTCAGTGTGAGAGCCCATTGACATTTCCAGATATAAAGTTTCAGAAAGATGCAGTATAGATAGATTAAAGGTTCAATTTAAATTTTTGTGGTTATGCTAGGATAATGTTCTAGAACTGTGGAATCTCATTTTGTAAGTACTAAGAATGAGATCTATTAACGGTGCTTGAACCTAACTATGGTTGCTACCTAACTATGGTAAAAATCTCCACCTAATTATTTGGAACGATTGTAGACTGAAGCATTGTGAGTTTTTTTTAATGTTTCGATTGAAATTTTTGCTGGGTGCTTATTTACAGTTGCATCTCTATTGAAAGATTGTACAATTTGTTTCAATTTGTTATTTTACAGAGGAATAGATACAGTGGTTCTAGAATGAATAACTATTAATAGTTTAATAACCATTCTAATAGATTTAAATCAATATAATTTGCGTGCCATGACATTATATGCCACTTGTTCACAGACCCTAATGGCTTGCACATCTTTACAAATTGCTCTGACTGCACTGGAGGACCTAAATTAATGTATTTGGCATACAGACACACACTGACTAATAAGGCTCTTTCCTTCAGTTCAGTTACAGAAATAAAGAAAATAACTTGACTTTACCCAAAAAAAAATTAAAACCAAATGCTTCTCTTTTTCAAACATTGAAACATTTCACAAACAAATGTAGATGGCCACAATGGAGAATCCCAACCTTGAAACTATTTCTTATTGCTCAGTTTGTGAGAGTTCTTTTCTAATCTGGTTTTGGATTTTGATATACTAATTTTTAAGCATTGACTAACTTATCACTGTCCTTTTTCAGCAGGAGAAAACTGCTTTAGTGTTTATTATATTAATATACTAACTACACCGTTATGGTCACCTCTGTAATTGCCACCCATCTTGCATGTCCCTATAAGTTTCTGCATTTCAGGTAACTCTGTTATTTATTCTCCTGGCCAAAACCCCTGCAGACTCCCAGTTCTTATCTTTTTTCCTCTCTCAGGGAAGCCTGTACAGACTTCTCAGGCTCAGATTGTGCTAATCTTGGTTTCTTTACTTATATTCTTCACTAATTCTTCAACCTTTGATGTCAGTCACTTCAAAACAACCAAGCACTGGTGTTTTCACTTCATGTCACCCAGTCACGAGCCTCTTTTCATGATTCACTCTTCACTAATACAGTCGGGCACTTTTAACACAATCAGCTCTGCTCTTCCAGCTCTTCATTCACAGTCTTCCACAAGCGCGTGCTCTTCAGAAACATCCGTTCATTTTTTCAATGGAGTTATTTTAACTAAAATCTGGGATGGATGACAACAACCACGCTCAATCATCCCCAGCTGTCAGTGATTAGCAATCACTCCCTTCTTCCTTCCTCCACTGAACACTATAAATACCAAATACGATATCTCTCTCCCTCGCGTGCGACTTTTGCATCCCACCTCCACCCAAACTCCACCTCTGCAGGTACCCCTTGGTTACCTTGCGGGGGGGTCCTGGGCTCCTCGTCCTATGGCCAGGAGATCGGCCCTCAGCCAAGCGGGTTAAGCCAAATATTCACTCCGCAATAGTTTGTTACACTTCGATTTTGGGGTGTTGTCATCCCTCATGAAACGTTTTACTGGCTGATCCTGTTTGACCAGACTGCTGCAAAAACCAACCACGCTAGCACTCCCCTTCACAAACGCACTTTCTTGGACTGCACACCTGTGGATCTTCTAATGGTAACAGTGGGAGTCCGTAGAGCCCCAGCTTCACTCTCAACTGTGGGGGGAAAATATGCTGGAACCTTGCCAGGTGCTACACCAATCCTCCAGGTGCTAGTACCCATCATCCCTAGTTCAGATGCTCACACCTGTTGCTTAGCAATGCACTTTTACCCTGTTGAGCCTGGTAACCTAGGAATGTAGGATGCCGTTCCCCCCTTACCTTCAGGTCTAGAAGGCTGCAGATACTTGCCCTCACTTTCAGACTTGTTGGGTTAGCCTTCATTGCTTACCTCACCCACATTAGTCTGTTGGGTAAACAATTAGCCCTTCCTAGGTACTGTGCAGTCCACTTCTCCAGCTCCGGCAGCTTGCCTCAGTACAGCCTAAGCTATATTTTCTTCCCTTGCTTTATTCTTTCTCATTGAGTCCCACAGGTCTGGAATCCAGCTTCACTCATTACTATTGAGCACTCCCTATGGACCTCTCACTCTCCTTCCTCTCACGCTGGAGCTTAGACAAGCCTAGACACAGACAGAAACTTTTTGTCCTCCTGGCTGTTCATATAAACCTTCCCATTACTGATGTGTGGTGAGCGTTCTGGCGCACTGTGGCTGCCGTCGCATCATCCAGGTGGATGCTGCACATTGGTGGTGGTGGAGGGGAGTCCCCATTACCTGTAAAGTGCTTTGATTGCAGTGTCCAGAAAAGCACTATATAAGTGTAAGCAATTATTAATGATGATTCCTGTGTATTTGTTTACATTATGCATCATCTGTCACGTGTTTGCCTAGTCCTGAATATTGAAAGGTCCAAGTGATATTCCACTAAATACATCAGTCTATTCATAGTGTTCATTGTGTATATCAGTTCACATGTATATAGTATGTATATAGTATATAGTATATAGTATATGTATACTCTGTTACCCAGTTCTCAATCCAAATGTATTTCTGTGGTTGCCCAAAGGCTGTAATTTAAGATGGAGAAATGAGAACTGTTATCAAAACCTCCTGAAAATCTAAATATACAACAGTAAATGAACAAATAATAGGTGTATTCCATGCTGAAAAAAAAGAAGAAAGAAAACACAACATTTCGGCCATGGAGCCTTCTTCAGGTGTCAGGTGTCAAGGTGTCAGGTGCTGACGCAGCTACCCACCTGAACCTATACAATAGGTTACTATACAATAGTACTAATACAATACTATACAATAGTAATATCTGTCTGTGTGTCTATTACTGTTGTTTTTTGTTAAAAATACTTTTTGAACTTAAAGCTTTTTTAAATGCATGTTTAGTATGCCCTTTGTTGTTATTGTAATTGATAATCTAGTTTAAATCAATTAATTATTGTTTCCACACCCTTACATGTAATAGACGTCAGATTTATCGATCTGTAAGTTGATGTTTCAGTGCTGTCACACTTTCAAAGTATGACTTGCAACAATACAAGTTACTCTTAAAGCTAAAGTGAATTCTGTTTGTCTGTATGCATACTGTACGTATAAACATGTACACCTGCATATGTATTTTAGTAAAATAAATTCTAGAATGTTTTATTAGGAAACACACACACACAGCTCAAAAAATGCATTGAACAAGGTTAATAAAAATCTTTGATTCCACCATCTTAAGCATTAAATTGCTTGTATAGTGCTCATTCATATCTAGATAACTCACAAAGACACTTTACTTGATTGACATATCCTTGTATTATATAGTACATGTAACTGTAAGTACTAAAGATAGTTCATGCCCAGTGGACTACCAAACTGATTTAAAGTGAATGTGTTGATTATGGACAGTGTTTATACGAAATGGTTCTCTTCACTTCTGGTACAGTGCTCGGTATGATGTTTTTAACTGGTTCCTGAAGAGTTATTTTCTGAAGGAGCAGATGCTGTTGGTAAAACTCCAAATAATCTGTGGGCTTGTACAAAGTATCCAGTATTGTGTATGCCACAGGTGTAAATTATCTTGCAGGGAAATATTTGCACTACTAGGCACTAATTCTTAAGGTTTAATGTTTGTGTTTGTGTAGACAAATAATAGCAGTGATTCTGTCAGTATTTCAGATTATCACTGAGATCTTGATTTCTAATTAAGCTCTGTTGTTTTAACTGCTGCTTCTTTCTGTTTTTATATTATTCTGTTTTTGTTCGTTCCATGTGCCTCTACCCCTACCATCTCTTAACTGCGGTGAAATGCGTGTCTGTAGTCTTTGTGCCATTTTCGCTTAAGCTGTGAATGCTTTTCACTAATACGTTTTGCCAAAATCTGTTTTTGTTTTTAACCTTCTGTTGCTGAGCTAGTTTGTACCTGCCTTTCATTTTCCTGTGCTCTGTGTCTACCAACTTGTATGTGCAAGCGAACCTCAATGTACACTTGTGTCTTAGTTTCTAAAGTAAATTGTTCTGAACATACAGTATCTGCTTTTGTGTCTTTGGCCTGTCACACGTTTGACTGTATGTGCGTTTACATCGAGTCTCTGTGTGTCTCTAACCCTCTGTGTGTGTCTCTGACCCGGTGTCTGTCTGTGTGTGTCTCCATGACTGCATACAGCGCTGCAAGGACAAGCTGAACTCCCTGGCAATATCGGTTATGAACCTGTGGCCAGGAGTGAAGCTTCGGGTGACGGAGGGCTGGGATGAAGATGGCCACCACTCAGAGGAGTCACTGCACTACGAAGGCCGGGCAGTCGACATCACCACCTCCGACCGGGACCGCACCAAGTACGCCATGCTAGCGCGGCTGGCCGTAGAGGCGGGTTTCGACTGGGTCTACTATGAATCCAAGGCTCATGTGCACTGCAGTGTTAAATCAGGTATGTGGAGAGCAACGCGGCCATTTTAATTTTTTGGACCAGCCTCATCAATTTGATATACAACAGAAAGTCGCTTTAGACGTAAGTGAGTCTAAATTAATATTGATTGAAACAAAGTGCCTCATTCACTGAGTGATGTGTGGAAGTCCCCTCATCTCGTTTTGACAACACCTCCAGTATTCACTAACTGCAGCCCTGCTTACCTAACGTATGCGTTAGAACATGACATGTGGAACAATGACCACATAGTCCCATGTTCAACTTAATTATAAGTAAACATCTATGATGAATAATGTTAATGACCTGCACTATAAATTACATCACCAATTACTGTATCTCTTAAGCAAATGAAGATGATATTCATTAAAGGAAACAAAATTCAATATAAGTTAGTATGTGGTAAGACATTGGTACTGGGTGAAACCAGACATTGTTCATAGATTCACGGAAGCACACTATTAGTGGAACAGTGCATTAGAAAGTCAGAAGTGCTGCTTTATAATAAGGAGAGCCCAAAGAAGAGTGATTAAGTGAGGGACTGCCCAAGACGTGGTCTTGGAGAAAATGAGTTGGTGATGGTGGTCTTTCCTTCAGGAGGAAAAGTCTAAGTGCTGCATGAGATCTGGAAAAATCTGGTAAAGAGATTGAGGTTGCAGTGGCTTTGTCTGTAGGCAGACTTGAGAAGTGCTTGACAGAAGACAGTGAAGAGGAAGACAGAAACGAGGTTAGTCCTTGAGACTACAAATGAACGGTGCCGGAGGAGATTGGAGAAGGGGGGAGAGACAGGGAGGAGGTCACAAAGTTGTGATCTCAGAGCTGAAAGGAAGTGGGTATGAGGTTGGCAGTGCTGTAGTTCCGTGAGAAATTCAGGTGTAGCTGTTTGCCAGCTTTGTGTGCAGCGGGAGATTGTGAAAGCTTATGAACAATTAAGATTTCTTTTGAAATCCCCAAATAGAAACAGTGGTGTGCCATCTTCAGGAAGCGTGCACTGTGGGATGTCTAGTTAATCGAAAAAATCGCACGAATTTGGTCTGGAGAGACATAGAGGTCAATGATGTAAAAGTACAGCAGGGACAATGAGGTGAAAAGTATAAAAGTCAAAATAGGATAAGGGGGGAAACAGGATTGTGTGCCTCATCAGGAGTGTTGTATTTCCAGATGAGGGAAATGCATATATCGGCCTCATCACCTCATCCATAGGCCTGAGGCTCGTTGCAGTAGAAATTGGAGGGGAGTGCAGCTGGTGTTGTTGTGTGATCTGGAGAGATCCTAGTTTCAGTGAGAGCCATGAAATGTTGGGAGAGATCCAGCATGAGGGGTAGGCCGATATGAAGACAGCCTGACTGGCAGTTCTGAAGACCTACAGAAAAGATGAGAGCAGAGAGGTCTATAGCTAGACAATGTTAGAAGGATTACGACGAGCACCTGGAATGACTGGAGACCTGTCAGGTAGTTCAGGTAGTGGAGAGGGAAGGCATGGTGAGTAGGAAGTGTGGTAGTGGGATAGGGTTAGTGGAATATAGAGTGAGAAGAGATCACAGACACCTCCTCGATGGACTCCCACACATACATCCCCTTGTCTTTGTACAACCTAGCCTTCAAACGATGACGCTGAGGAGATGAAGCAGCTCCTTCATTGCCGCTAACCGTGGAATACAGCAACTAAACATTGTCACCTGCATTGCATGTTACTAGCTGAGCACAGCTAACCATTACTCCTGACATCTGTCCGTTTTCTGCTTTGTGTGTATTGCTGTTCTCTAGTATATTACTTTATTTGTTCCACAAATAAAAAAGCAGACGTTCAGCAAAAAAGGAGCAGAGAGGAGGGTAAGGGAGAAAATAGTTTGCTGAAGGAAGACATTTGATCCTTTGGCAATGAGCATAACATATTAAAACAGGGAATATGCAAAACTAATAAAACATGCATTGAGTTAAATAATGTTAAATGTTGAGTTAAATATGTCTTATATTATGTAATTTATGCAAGTGCAGATGGTGGAGGGTCCATAAAACTTTCATTGATGTAAGAGATGCTTATTATTAATATATTTGACTTGCACGTTTATCCAAAACAGTACAGCATTTTACTGACTACCTTGCTCAAGGGTACAACAACAAGATTACATAGTTGTGCCGTTTATTTTTTGGGGGGTGTAATTTTGTAGATACCCTTAAGTTGGTGATTTGCCGTGTTTTTACTTTTAATATACAGTGCTTTTAAATGTGTGTTATGTCACTTCCTAAGTGTCTTCACTCTTAATTATGTTTTACTACATGTCTAGGAATCGTTGTTAAAGCTTGGTTTCTAGATTATCACTGGTTTTAGCAAGCCTTTTTCATGGGCATTTTTTATCACAATATACTGTATAGCAAGCAGATTATATTTAAGGAGACAGGCCAAACTGAATAATAGACTATTACATGATAACTTTGCTTTACTATCCTTATACAACACAATCAAAAAGTGTGTTAATGAATATGAAGTACCATTCAAAATCCAATATTATAATGACCTTTGTCACCTGGTGGCAGGTGTGAGACGTCAACCTGTGGACTTCATTACCATGTTGTCATGAAGAGAGCCCTGACTGTGAATAATTATTTCTGCTGTTCCATTCAGTGTTTGATGCTGTTCTCATGTCTGCAACCTGTGCAAGACTATGTTGAACATTGTGCCTGTGTGCATTGTGTATTGTGGACATGTCTGGGGAGAGACTTGAGATGCACTGTTCTGAGAGTTCTTAGTGGGCATCACTGATTTGTTTGAATAGCTGCCAAGTGGAGGGGCTAAAATACCGTGGAACTCCTACTAATAAAAAGCACAGATCGGAAATTATAGTGCTTGGTCATGCCATGGCTCATGTTTCAAAATTCATATTATAATAATAATTGCTTACACTTATATAGATCTTTTCTGGACACTCCACTCAAAGTGCTTTACAGGTAATGGGGACTCCCTTCCACCACCACCACCAATGTGTAGCATCCACCTGGATGATGCGACAGCAGCCATAGTGCACCAGAACACTCACCACACATCAGCTATCAGTCGGGAGGAGAGCAGAGTAATGAAGCCAATTCATAGATGGGGTTTATTAGGAGGCCATGATTGGTAAGGGCCAATGGGAAATTTGGCCAGGACGCTGGGGTTACACCCCTACTCTTTTCGAGAAACGCCCTGGGATTTTTAATGACCACAGAGACAGGACCTTGGTTTTACGTCTCATCCGAAGGACGGCGCCTGTTTACAGTATAGTGTCCCCGTCACTATACTGGGGCATTAGGACCCACATGGACCGCAGGGTGAGCGCCCCCTGCTGGCCCCACTAACACCTCTTCCAGCAGCAACCTTAGTTTTTCCCAGGAGGTCTTCCATCCAGGTACTGACCAGGCTCACATCTGCTTAGCTTCAGTGGGTTGCTAGTTGTGAGTTACAGAGTGATGTTAGGCGCTTCCTATGTAAATATAATGCTTTCAAACAAGCTTGTCCAATGCCATTATGGGAAGGATGAAGCATTCACAATGCATTAATATAAATAAAGCAGGAAGGTGGCAAAAGTATGTAATTAAAATTACACTGGGGAAGGAGTGATGTCAATGTAAACCATATCATCCTTTCTGGTGTTTTTTTGTTTGTTTTGCACCGGGGGTATTTTCTTGGTGCTTATCAGTGATAAGCCTGTAAACATCAAGAAAACAGGAAATTGTCCTCACTGCAGGCTGGTTGTAATCATACTATTCATTGTGATTGCTACCACTTGTACACCAGCTTCCTGTGGCCTTTGCTGTTTGTAAACCCTGCTCTGTTTCCAGTGCCTGGTTAATTTCCTCCCGCTGTAAAAAGGGAAATCATTTGGTGAAAGAGGTTGTAAATACCTGTGTAGGTTAGGCAGTTAACTACTCAAGTATATACTAATAAGTGAGCATTATGACATGATATCATTTAGTTTTGATCATTAAAACCTTTTTATTTTAATGCAAATGACAATTTAAAAAGAATCGTCTTTGCAGAACTCCTAATTTATTCCTTATTAAGTCCATTATGGACGGTTGGTTATTTGGTGAAATATGCAGAAGCTGAATATCTTCGGATCTCATTAGTTATTGGAGCAAAACCTAAATGGGAGTCTGTTACATTAGTAATAGAATGGCCAGTATGTATATCGTTATATACTAAATGAAGACTCTATTAGTATTTTGGGGAATCACCTCAATGTTTAATGTCAGTATTATATCTTCAGTTTATTTATCATCTTTTGTTGAGACTTACAGATTGCTGATTACTGATAGTGCTGAACCTGTTTCTTATGGGTTATCAGTGAGACACTACTTCTATTCTTTGTAAAAACTCGTTAGAAAAAATAGTAAAGGCACTACTTTTGTGTGTTAAATATTCAGAATTTGATTTGTATTTGCATTATTATACAGTATTAAACTGAGTTCAGGAAGGTAAAATCATTATTAAAATGAACAGATTTCAATAAGACACATGACTGCTTTCTGTCTACTTCAGTGTAAAACAGGTATAATCAAACAATTCACAATGCTTGTCATTATGTAGTTACTTTATGTGCATGTGTATTGAAAGAGACTGAATACACATGAATGTGTAGAGGAGACCCACTATTACATGAATGTCGTGTTTGCTTTTGTATAAGAAATGCATTCGTTCGTGTGATGTTCTAATAAAAGGAGACATCTTTAAATGAAGTCATCTTCCTTAGGACTGTCATGCCCCACACTCTCCCTCGCAAACGCCGTTCCATTCCTGTCACACCCCACACTCTCCTTTGCAAAAGCTGTTGCATTCCCAAACCCACTGTTTCACAGTCCTATTCCTAATTGAACCCATCACATTCCCACATGCACCAGATTCCACAACGTCTCACTCCCGAACCAATTATCCAACCACATCCCTTTCCTTTCAGTATTTAAAGTTCCCTCACACACCAACCCTTGCTCACTATTGAGAAGCCTCCAGTAGTAGTCTCGCGTGT